GTAGTAGTGGTGGTGGTGGTGGTGGTGGTGGTGGTGGTGGTGGTGGTGGTGGTGGTGGTGGTGGTAAGTCGTATTCGAAGGAATCTGGTGGTAATAGTAATAGGAATCCTGAAAGGATTCCAAAGAATCCGAAGGAATCCCGAGGAATTCCGAAGAATCCGAAGGAGTCCTGAGGAATTCCTAGGGATTCCGAAGGAGGAATCCACAGGAATTCCGAAGGAGGAAGCCAAAGGAATTCCAAAGAATTCCCAAGGAATCCCAAGGGATTCCAAAGGAATCCTGAGGAATTCCAGAAAGGAATCCTGAGGAATTCCGAAAGCATCCTAAAGAATTCCGAAAGCATCCTAAACAATTCCGAAGGAAACGTAAGGAATTCCGAAGGAATCCCAAGGAATTCCGAAGGAGTCCTAAAGAATCCTCAGGAATTCAGAAGAATTCGAAGGGATCCGGAGGAATTCCGAAGATCCCATCCGTGGTTGGAATTGGTCTCATTTTTGGTTGGGTTGGAATTGGTCTCATTTTTGGTTGGGTTGGAATTGGTCTCAATTGTGGTTGGAATTGGTCTCTTTTCTGGTTGCAATTCGCTCCGAACGGTTGGAATTGGGACTAGTCGGTTGTAATTCGTACCATTTCGCCTCTCCTCCTCCCCCCCCCTCCTCCTCCTCCTCCTCCTCCTCCTCCTCCCTCCTCCTCCGCCTCCTCCTCCTCCTCCTCCTCCTACTTTTCCCACCCCACTGCGTTCAGCGGTGTCCTGAACATTTCGCGTCGTTCGTTCGTTACTTGCTGCAGGTCAGCCGGCGTGGACCCCTAACACATGTGTTCTGGCAATGTATGCAGGTCAATCTTAGGTGGTGCTATCAATGTGGCGCACACTGGGCGGAACAGTCCATGTGGTGCCATTTACGGCGTGCAGAGCAACGGATTGCAATGCAATGCCATGCAACGCAACGCGACGCAACGCAAGGCAATGAGCAGCATTACAACGCAGTGCAACACAATGCAGAACAGTGTAAGGTAATGCAACACAGTGCAACGCAATGCCGAGCACTGCGAACCAACGCAACGCAATGCGGTAGCAAAGCGATAGCAATGTGACACCACTGCGATCGCAATGCAACTGCAACGCAATGAAAAGCACTGCAAACCGCCGCAACACTCTGCAAAACAATACAACGCAGTACAACGCAATGCAAATACTTGCAAAGCAATGCGTAGCACTACGACACAGTGTCACTGCAATGCAACGCGATGCACAGGAAGGCAGAGCAATCCACAGCAATGCAGCGCACCACACAGCAATGCCGAGACGAGCAGCGCAGTGCAACGTGATGTCAAGCAGTGCAGAGTGATGCAGCGCAGTGCAAACCAATGCGATATTGCCATGCGATGCGACTGCACTGCAGTCGTGCAGTGCGATGTTCAATGCAGTGCGATTGCAGTGCGACCGGGAGGAGTGCAGCGGGGCGGCGGCGACGGGCGGGAACGGGGCCGCAACCCGGCCTTTCCAATTGATTGCGATCGATTGGATCCCAATCGATTGGGATTGCAGCGATTCGATGTTCGGGGGGGTGCAATGGTCAGGAGGAGAAAAAACACACAGACACAATTCATAGTCGATTCTCCAGAAAATATGGGAAGATATGGGAAGCGGGGGGGAAGACAAAAACCAAGCAAAATATAGGAAAATATGGGGAATCTTTTTATTTGTGTGCATTTATTTGCGTGTCCCAGGGCCCCTCCAAATGGGGCGGCGGCAGACCCGACAACGGAGCCCCGGCGACGGGCGGCGACGATGCGGCGACGGGGCGGCGTCGGCGGCCACAGGGCGGCGGACCTGACAAAGGAGCCCGGGTCCTTAGGACAACAGGTAGGATTCCCCAGGACGCGAGCACGTTTTGGGGAGTGAGGCGACAACACCGCCAGGCCAGGAGCCAGAGGGCCAGGCCTCAAAGAGGCCGGGCCCAGGCGGTGTTAAAACAAATCGGATTCCCGAGGATGCAAGCACTTTTGGGGGAGTAAGACGACAACCCAGCCAGGCCAGGAGCCAGAGGGCCAGACCTCAAAGAGGCCGGGCCCAGGCGGTGTCTGGCGACGGACCCTGGACCAGAACCCCAATGCCCAGGGGTCCCCCTGTGGGACTGGGGTGGGGAGCCACTCGGGTGCCCTGGGCATTTGGGTTGGGAGGAGGAAGAGTGGGAGGACGAGGAGGAGGACCAGCGTACACCCAAGACGCACCAACGATGTTGCTCCTTCCAAGTTCCCTCCCTATAGGTCTCTAGAAGGATTTGCTTTCATCGCAGGAAATGGCACATTGAACAGTCCGTATAATGGAAAGGACGGGTTTCAGTCTCCCAGACTCCAGAAAAGGGGTGATGTCCTGCCAGGACAAGGGCACACAACAACTCAACAATTTTACACGGATGAACAACTTGATGTGAATCGGGCACCCTCGATTCCCGAAGTCATTCGGAGATCCCAGATCGTGCCAAAACACTGTTCCTGGGACTCCAGCGCCGCGAATCAGCAAACTTGCTGCGTTCTGAGGGTCCTGAGCCGAACCAGAACACCATGCCTGTATTTCAACACGTCGAAAACATTTGATTGTTGTGTCCCGAGAATTTCCCATCTTGCCAGAGCATCACTCCTGGGACATCAGCCCTACGAAACCTTGAAACTGCTGTACACCGTTAAGGCGAATGTGCGCTTCGCTGCGGGGAGAGCAACCCTTTGAAGATGAGCCGCCGTCCATTCTTCGATGCGTATTGCAGACGCTGAAGACGAATGTGCGCGGCGCGAAGGCAAGAGCTCCACCCAGGAAGCTGTTCCACATCTTTAAGACGGTTATGTGTGGCGATGAGGCGAGAGCCCCATTTAAAACATGGCCGGCCCTATATCTTTGAAAGTGCTGCAAATTTCAATCTGGACGCCCGAAATGGGTACTGAAAGAATGGGTACAATGCCCAACAGCAGTTCCTGTGCATTTTGAACAGGATTCGCTGTCCACGCCGCCGCGGCCTGTGTCCATTCGAGACAGGAGGCCGCCCGCCCAACAGCGGCCACTGTTGGTTTGAGACAACATTTGCTGTTGGGCATTGTTCGGTATTCATTTCGGGCGTCCAAAATTTCAAGTTTCGGGGTCATCGATGGTGAGGAAGTTTCAGGCGACACTCCAGGCTCGGCCAACGGACCGACGGACACGTCTGGGGGTGCGACGCTGCGGAGCTAGCTGCAAGGAACATGAATGGAGGACGTGTGAGAAGGGTGAGGGAGCGTGAGAGCGCGTGAAGAAGAAGGGTCCTCAGGCAACTCCAATGGGTGTTCCTCTTGCTCCACCCTTCCCCATTCCTCTCTCATTCCTCTCCATCCCTCCCTCATTCCTCAATCGTTCCCTCCTCCCCCACCCTCCCTCCATTCTTCTCCCTCCCCCTCTCCGCCCCCTCCTCTTCCTGCACAGCTCCGTGGCCAGTTTGGCTCGACATGTTTGCCTGGGGGATGATCAGCCTCCAGGTTGGAGGAAAACCATTGGCCCGTGGACCGAGAGAAGGATTTTCTCGGGCATGCTGGGCGCGGTTCGGGCAAACGCCACCATGTCCCAAGGAAAGGCGAGCGCGGGCCAGGGCAGTCTTCCGTTTCAGCCATGAGAGTTCCGTGTTTGGTCGTCGTCGGTTGGTTTCATGCCGCTCTCTGCCACCGACAGCTTCCCCCACGGAGGCGGTGGTCTCGCACAGCATGTGGTCGCGCGCTCCTCTCGGCGTCCACGGGAGCTGTGCACTTCAGGGCTGGGGACGCAGTGGCGGAATGCCCCAGAAAGGGCCCGAATGCTTGCAGTGTGGCATTCGCAATGTCGGTTTGCTTCAATGCGGACGTCGAGCCGCCGTCGCCGTCCGTCTGTGTGGCTGTCCAGCTCTGGGTAAAGTCGCGCATCAAGCAGCTTGAAGCCAAAACACGAATCTGCGGTTGGCCGTTGCGTCGCCCCAGGCA